CTTGCAATGAATGCAAAATACTGTATCGAATAGTAAAAACAGTATTCTTTTGTGATGATTCACCTGACCAAATACTGTAGCCAACTGAAGAAGTATCAAATTATCTGCAAAGGCCATCACCTTGGTGGAATTAAAACTTTTATTTTACGTCCGAATCAAGACCTTCGCCTATAAATAGATGATACCCCTCTCAGTAAGGGACCGGAGTTTCATTTTAGCTCTCTCTCTCTCTCTCTCTATCTCTCTCTCTCTTTGCATTGTTGCTTTATGAGAACCACTTCTCAGTAGTTTGTAAACCCATGTATTTAGTCTTTCTCTTTATGTAAAACGGATTGTAAGAATCCATCTTATCAGTAATCCAAGTGCCCGTATTTGGTGTTCCGCAACCGATTGGTATCAAAGTGGTTTAGTTCAAACTGTGGTGCATTGCATAATTCAAAGGGCATAACCCGTATTTGAATTGGCTCTAACCCAATATTCTTTACCTGAAAATTACACTACTGCGTTATTTTACAATAGAAATTTTAATCATGCCCATATTTGGAAATTGAGGAACACCAAATTTCCAAATATTTAGCGTTCCGCAATCGGCTGCGGAACACCAAATACGGGTACTTGGATTACTAATAAGATGGCTTCTAACAATCGGTCTTCAATAAAAAAAAAGACTAAATACATGGGTTTACAAACTACTGAGAAGTGGTTCTCATAAAGCAATAATGCAAAGAGAGAGAGAGAGAGAGCTAGAATGAGACTCTGGTCCCTTACTGAGAGGGGTATCCTCTATTTATAGGCGAAGGTCTTGATCTGAACTTAAAATAAAAGTTTTAATTCCGCCAAGGTGATGGGCTTTGCAGATAATTTGATGCTTCTTCAGATGGTTATTGTTAGCTACAATATTTGGTCAGGTAAATCATCACAAAAGAATAGTATTTTTACTATTCGATACTATTCCTATGGATTCGTGTGTTGAATAGTGTTTGCAGTCGATCGTCCATCTCATGATCATTCAGTAAGTCTCACTTGTATAGTGGTCTTTTAGAGGGTTCATCAAAGATTTCTTCTTTTGAATAGTTTTATGCAAAAACTCATGGTTTTTTGCATTCATTGCAAGGTAGGCCTTTTTTGCTTTTTTAGCACTCATCACAAAGCAGACTACATGCATATGTTTTATTAAAGAAAATCTTTGCATACTGTCTTCTTTATCCGGAATGTACTGGTTTAATCTTATCTCGGGTCCCATCTTGCTTACGTGTGTCAGTCTTCCATCATATTTTGTATATTGGCTTCGACTACACTGCCGAAGCTGAAGCTTGGCATTGGACTATTTGGTCCTTCTGGTTCATCAAAAGGAATTAGATATTGTTGGAAGTTCAATTGGTGTTTTATACGATTGTCCAAGAACTATTAGACTTCAGGCAATTGTTGTTTAGTTCTTTTGTAGGATACTTCAAAATTTGTTATGAACAGTCTTCTACTGTCTACAACACTGAACCAACTTTCATCATTTTCAAGTAAATTTTTTGTCTGTTGAGCTTTATTTTTTATGATCTCAAGGTTTTTTAAACAATAGTTTTCTGTATCAAAAAGTATTTTATCGGCTTTGTCCCAGTTTGTCGAGCAAAAAGAGAAATCAGTATCTGTGGCATTTCGCAAAAGCCAAATCTGATAGGGTTGAAAAAACTTTGCTTGGCTAGTCCAGCCTACTGAACTGTAAATTTTTAAAGTAATATAATTATGAAACTTCCAGTTTTTGGTAGTTTCATAAATTATAGTTTTGATCATCCTTGAAAATTTTTTAAATTTTATCGAATCTTGATGGTCGAGAATGATTTTATCCACAGGTCCCCATTCAATTGGTTCAATTTCCCAATCGTCATGATTAAGGAAAAATACAATTTTTGGGTTTTTGTTGGATTCATAAATAAGATTACCATCATACTTGGTTAGTATTCTAGTAATATTTATTTCAGGCTTGTTTAGCCTAATTTCAATATGCTCATGAAAGATGTCATATGGGAGTTTTAGTTTTTCATAAAGGCAAATTCTTTTAATTCTTTCAAAAATAGAATCTCTGGATTGGCCATCCAGCTGTTCTGAAATTATTAGAAAATTATTTATCATTTCATAAGAAAATTTTGTTTCCCAGTCCATTTGTTTAATCATATGAAAAGATAGGTTTTGCGAATTCCTGGTTTTAACTTATTGTTTTGCTAACAATTTAGAAACTTTCCCATGTTTTTTCTAAATTGTGTTTTATTTTGTGAAATATGGGATTTCCATAGAGCATTTAATTCATGATAAAACTCAGAAGTGATATCTGGGTTTCTATAAAAATCCGCAACTTGTTTAGTTTGGGATAAGCATAATTGCTCTTGTAATCTCAAAATATCTTTAAAAGAGAACCGTTGAGAATTTGAGATTTGAGCAAAATGTTGATGCTGCTGAGAGGCTTGTCTAGGCTCTCTAAACTGAATGTTCCCTGGTTTAGGAATCCCTTCATAAAGTTTTTCTTTTTTTCTGAGGAGGTAGAAAGGGTTGTTTACCCTTTCTTTTATCTCCCATAGTTCTTTGTTTAGGGACTTTCCCTGCTAAGAAAATCAGCAATTACATTGTTGATACCTTTAATATGTTCAATTTCAAAGGTATATTGACATATAAAATTGTACCATCTGATTCTCCTGGGATTTTCTTCACCTTTTTTATTTTTAAGAAAGCTTTTACTGAGTGATTATTGGTTCTAATAAGAAATTTTTCAGGAGCAAGAAAAATATGAAATCTTTTTAAGCCATTTTTTATGGCTAGAAGTTCTTTTTCATAAGTAATATAGTTAATCTCACTTGGTTTAAATTTTCCAGAATTGTAACCACAGATTAATTATTTATTATCTCAAAACTCCTAAAATAGGAATTTATCAAATATCAAAGCATTGCTAGTCAACAAGATGATGATGCATTTTCCAGAATTGTAACCACAGATTAATTCTTTATTATCTCAAAACTCCTAAACAGGAATTTATCTAATATCAAAGCATTGCTAGTCAACAAGATGATGCAATTTATTCATTAACAAAGATAAAACTTTGCAAAATTAGTGAATTTGAAACTTTTGCAATTATTTCAAATATACTTTCATAAAGTGAGAATCTGATTCAGAATTTTAGAAGGGTCAGTTTATGCCCCAGCGCAGGCACAAATCCCACCAAACAGGAAATGAAATCAATTTTTGAACAAATTGCAATCACCTTGCATGACCGTACAAAAATTGTCCCATTCTTCAATGTGTGATTGGATTTATAGCACTCTCACCTTATTATTCTTATCTTACATTTCCCTCCTTCTTTATTACTTATGATTTATTTTTCAAGCCACATTCTATTTATTATCCATCAAGTACCAATTCAAGAGAATGTCTTATTTCTTTTATTTTGTTTTCCCAACATTATATTGACAATGGTAGTCACTCAGGCCATGAAATACCCACTATCCAGCACAGCAGTTTAGAAATCACACCTACGATTTGTGTGAAATATTTCCTTACCATCACAAGAAAACAGGGCTTTTCTTGAGTAAATTTAGAAATGATAGGAGTAGTAAGCTTGTTTTGATTTTCTGGGGACACATTTCAAGAATTCAAACTCTTGACCTCCCTCACACAAACTGGGATACCTACCACTACAATGAAATGTAAAGTTAAACTGGATGTCTATCCCAAAGAAAGGTTCATTTCTTCACAAATGGGAGGATACAAAAAAATATGTTATCATAATCCTAAGAAAACATGAGAGCAGTATATTCTTCATTGTGATTGTATGCAGGTCAACTTGTCCATGCATGCAAAAGTGTTTTTTTTTTGTATCTAATAAATATATTTACTTGGTAGAAGTCATTAATATTACCTAAACTAGGTAAACCAATATGCATACGAAGCTAATTTTAGTAGATATGCATCTGAAGTTCATAATTTATTCAGTTATTACCAACATAACACTAAATAAAGCACCTAACAATAAACAAAGCACAAAGTCAAAAAAACAAAGCACCTCCAAGTTCCAGCGCATTTGAGAAAATGACTTCATGGCCCAGCGCAAGTTTTAAGGATTTCAGGGAAATGAAATCAATTTTTAAACAAATTGCAAGCACCTTAAAATTGTCCCGTCCTTCAATGCGTGATAGGATCTCTAGTATTCCCACCTTACTGCAGCAAAGCTTGAATGCATTTTGCACTACTGCAAAGCTCAACTCTAATTCCAAAGAATTGCACGATGCAATTGCAAAAAAGGTTCAGGTTTTCTTGTATAAATGTTTTTTGAATGTTCAATTAGATTTTCTAGTATATGTTGTTGCAGAACAGTTCATCTTGTATATAACAAGGTTCAAACACAATATGGCCCACAAATACTCCACTAAATCAAACTCTAAATTGGAATAAATTTGTTTGCTAATCATACAAAAATTTCCGCAAATTTACAATTTTGCAGGTTCCCCATGCAAAATCAGCTAAATGATATTCTAACAGGACAGCTAAATGATATTGTAACTGGACAACTAAATGAGCATATACAGGATCTTAATGCTCGGTGAGAAAAAACACCACATAAAACGTACCAAAACTTTCTATTGCATGTAACAGAACAATAATCGCATATACTAGATTGCAACTACTAGCCCAGGATCCAGCACCGGCACATAACTTAAAATCAGTAGTAAGACATTGAAGTAGGAAGTTGATACACAATCAGAAATTCTATAGACATCTGCATGTGTAAATAATAGAAGACAGACATCACAAACATAACCAATGCCACAAAGCATAGAGAACAGTGAGAAAGTGGATAACATACGCATGATGTGTCCACAGATGCACGCACACACACGCATGCGTGCACACACACACATTCCCTAAGAAGGATAAAGAAATTAGCAATTACATATCACTCTCTCCAAGTGCAAATCTCAGAGGTCTAACATTTAATAAAAGATAGGAGAACATGAACTCACGTGTTCTTGATTGATAATACTTCCTCCATTGGCTTCCCCTTCACCCATTCAGTAGCTGCAAAACAGTTATCAAAACATCAACCTTTAAATCAGTTTCCCAAGGCAAAAGCCATACATCATTCTACTCATTAAGAATTTTGTGACGATTAAATACTTATCTCGTTACCAGATGGTGTAAGAGAATATTTCTTCTTCTTGTAATAGCATAAATGTTGAACAGAAACAATCAATTTATTACAAAAATATCCATTTAAACCAATATATATTCCCTGTATAATTAAGACAATCCACCTAAGAATGAATCTGATAGCATGTGGAGGTGTTAGACAAAAGAATAGATAAAAAAAAAGCTATGACAATTTTGATAATCATAAAATGATAAGCATCCATCTGAAACTAGTAGGGACAGAACTTAAAAACACCAAAAGAAGCACATACTGTAAACCAATTTCTAAAACTCCAAATAAAGAAGAGAGAGGAAGATTGCATATCAGTTACTCCCCAAAAATATCACATGAAACTCCACCTAGGAGCACCATATCTCAAGAAACCTCATCAAGACAGAAATAAGAATTTAACCCAAAATACGCTTTTTACAGTATCACAATTATCAGCTTAAAACAAGTTTTGATAATCAAGGGAGTCCAACCCACAAATATGTTAAAAAGAAAGTCACCTTATGACAAATAGAAAGGAAAAATATTAGTCCATTTAGAACTAAGATTCCAAATACAAGATTGTATCTGTGTAACATATCTAAGAACTTCCTTGTTCTTTCTCTTTTTAGACAGGTGATTAAAGGGGCAAAAAAAACACAAACCACACCATGGAAGCATACGAGGAAATTATAGATGAGGCAAACTACATAGAAGTTCATTTGTTTTCAATTACTTTCTGTCGGTCCAGAGAAGATGGGGGGAAAAGGGAATAAACTTCAACAAGAAAATGCATGGGATAACACAGATACTAGCTTTTTCATTGTGCTCAAATAGTTGAAAAGCAAGTATTTTGATATCAGATGTAGCCTCAACTCAAGACTAGCCAGCTGAGAGCTCAATTAATCAAAGTACTAGTCTCAATAATTAGACACGGCATAAGCAGCTCCAACTCCACCAACACAAGACCTTGACAACATAACTCGAAACCAAATAACCCAAGAAAATAAAGAAAAAACAAATTCTATAAGGCTGGCATGTTGAAAATGGGAATTTGATTTCCACATCAACAGCAAAAATAAATCAAAATTGCCCATTAAGAGAGGGAAAAATAAAAACCACTGCTTGCAAAGAAAAATTCCAACCAAACACAAACAAAAAATAAACTAATATCATATACTTAACCCTGAACCACAAATCAAAAGGATAACATAACATGAATGAAAAATACTCTATAACAAAATCAACTTTTAATAAGGAACTGAAACAAAAAAGGTAAAGAAACATTAATACCGTGAGAAAAATAAATGAAATGATAAATTAATCACATAAGAAGGAAAAATGCAAAAAATTCAACAACAAATTCTTGTCAATTTCTTTCGTACACCTAATACGTGTGAAAAATGTTTAAAAAACGGGACTCCCCGGCGCCTAGGTGCCCAAAAAAAATTTTCCGCACGCCTGGACCTGGGCGCCCCAACACGAGCGGCTGTACCTGGGCGGGTGCCTAGGCGGGCACCCGGCACAGTTTACGATTTTTTTTTTTTTTATAACTACGCCTAAAAGTGCAAAAAGGTCATTTTGACCACCAAGTTTGTATAAAATAAGTTTAGGGGTTTATTTTCAACCCCAAACTGAAAAAAAAAACAAGAAATACTCAATCTTAAACTTATTTATGAGAATCAAAAGCAATTGCTGAGAATTGAAAATACTTCTTGTGGATTGAAAATGTTTGTTTTTCTTATTGAAATTATTTTTAGGGTGCTATTGGTGGTATTAGAAGACTTTTAAGTTGATTCGTAGCTCGACTGAGATAGCCAACATTGAAGATCAGATATTGGGTAAAAAAGGTCAGTCTATAATCTTTATTTGAGATTTATTTTTTCAATTTGAGATGTCTTCTGCGGGGTCTACTAGGGGTGGAGATCCGGGATGAAAATATTGTGTTAACCCTGATAAGAATGACAGAAATAAAATTATGTGCAATTTTTGTGGACATGTTTCTAATGCCGGCATAAATAGATTTAAGAAACATCTTGCTGATATTAGAGGTGATGTCGCCCCATGCAAGAAAGTCCCAGATCTTGTAAAGAAAGAAATTTTGGAGTACATTGAAGCTGAAAAGAGTAAAAAAATTACAAAAAAAAAGAATATAGCAGAATTTTTTATGATAATACTAAAACTGAAGAAGAGGATGATGAAGAAGACTAAAAAAATTGCAAAAAAAAAGGATGTCGCCCCATGTAAGAAAGTCCTAGATCTTTTTCAGTTTCATATTTTTGATGATAATACTGAAACTGAAGAAGAGGATGATGAAGAGGGGGAAGAAGAGGTAGCCCTGGTTGGTACTCAAAGCTCTAAGACCAAGAGGGCTTTTGGGTCTCAGAAGGCTCATACGAGAAGGCCTATAGATAGTTTCTTTACACTTAGCCCTGAGACAGTAATTGAGAAAAGCAAGGGAAAAAACAGGTGACAAATTGAAAATAGGTTTAAAAAGGAAGATAAAGCCAGAGTGATTCAGTATATTGCTCGGTGGTTTTATCATGCAGGCATTTCTTTTAACATTGCTAGTTTGAATAGATTCCATACAATGTTGGAAGCAATTGGACAATTTGGGCTAGGTTTGAAAGCTCCAACTCCTTATGAGATTGGAGAGCCACTACTGAAGAAAGAAGTCGAGTATACTAATGAATATCTCAATACTCATAAGGAGAGATGGGCTAAATTTGGGATTTCTTTGATGACAGATATGTGGAGTGATAGGAGGAGGAGGAGTAACATGAATTTATTAGTAAATTGTCCCCCGGGTACAATTTTTTTCCGCTCAATCGATGCTTCCAATGATGTTCATGATGCGCATTATATATTTTCTTTCATTGATAAGGGTATTGAGGAGGTTGGGAGGAACATGAAATTCAAGTGGTCACAGATAATGCTGCTCCCAATCTAGCTACAGGTCATTTGCTTCGACAAAGAAGGCCTCGCATATTTTGGACTCCTTGCGCTGTACATTGCGTAGATCTTATGCTTGAGGCAGTTGGTGAATTGCCTCCTATTAAAGGAATTATTTTTAAGGCTAAGGAGGTTACAATCTTCATATACAGTCACATACTTACCCTTAGCATGATGCGCAAGTTTACAAAAAAGAGAGAGCAAGTGAGGCCAGGGGTCACTAGATTTGCCACCGCCTACCTTAGTCGACAGAGCATGTATAAGAGGAGGATCGCAGGAGGATCGCATTAAGGTCTATATTTGTTTCAGAGGAGTGGAGTAGGTGTAAGTGGTCTAGAGATGCCAAGGGAAAGAAGACACGAGATATTAGTTTTTCGAAATATTTTTGGCGTGGGGTGAAGCATGCGATATTAGTATTTCTTCCCTTGGTGAAGGTCTTGCGCTTGGTTGATGCTGATAAGCCCTCCATGGGCTCTATATATGATGCAATGGAAAGGGCTAAGAATGAGATTGCAAAGAATGTGGGCAATGATGCAGTGAAGTATGCCCCAATTTGGGAGATTATAGATGATAAATGGGATTATCGGCAGCTCCATAAACCATTGCATGCAGCGGGGTACTACTTGAACTCCAAATTCTTTTATGCAGATGCAGATATTTAGTCAAAAGGGGTAATTATGGATGGCTTTAATGAGTGCCTTGAGAAATTAGTTCCCGATCCAAATATCCAAGATAAGATATCAATTGAAGAGCTAATTTCGTACAAGTGTTCTTTAATGTCATTTGGGAAAGATATGGCATTAAGGCAAAGAAACAAAGACGAACCAGGTAATATTCCTTTGACTTATGTACTTTTTTTTTATAAAATATAAATTGATAATTTATAAATTTATAATTTTCTTTCAAGTTCTGATAACGCTAAATACCTAAATTACTTATAAAGGTTGCCCACATATTGCAGCCCAATGGTAGAGACAACATGGGAGTAGCGCTCCAAACCTCCAGAAGATGGCTATGCGGATCTTGAGTTTGACAACTACCTCTTCTAGTTGTGAGCGCAATTGGAGTTCGTTTGAGATGGTATTTTACTATTTTAAAGGAATAAAATTTTATATGCTTTTTTTGTTTATAAGTTCATATTCATTTTGTAATATAGATTCATAAAAGGTAAGAAGATCATAGACCTATAATAGTTACTTATGCATTATTTTTCCTTATAGGTGCATACAAAGAGAAGAAATAAGCTTGAGCAAAGGAAGCTCAATGACTTGGTTTTTGTTAGAGAGAATCAAAGGCTCAAGGAGAAAAAAAACCAGCAAAAGAAGGACCCTATCTCTTCGAAAGATATGGAGAATGCTTCAGATTGGCTAGTTAGTGACCCTGGTACTGAGGAGGTCTTCCCTGGGGAGGGTTTGACATGGGAAATGGTCGAGGAGGCTTCAGGGCAAGCTTCTGATCCTAGAAGGGCCACTCGAGCAACTTCTTCTGCTGGTACTTCGCGGAGGGAGATAAATGAAGAGGAGACAGATTCAGAAGAATCTCTAGAAGAAGAGGAATATGTTCAAGAGGGTGATGATTCTGATGATGACAGCCTCAATTCTGATGCAGAGGAAGGCAATGAAGATGATGATTTTGATTCTTATTGATGTCTTGATTGTCTTCTCTCTTCTTTTGAAGTAACTTTAATCTTTATTGCACCATCTTGGTTTGGGCTTTAGACAGTTGGAGTTTGAACGATATTTATTTAGTTATGTGGTTTGTAATTTTTTTGCCTTTTTGGACTATTTCGTTGTGTGGTTTACTGGTTTTTCTATAGTTTTGGAAGTCAATTTGTTGATGACTTGGAGAGTTGAAGACTTGGAATCTTGGATGTTACTATGGTTTATTTTATGGATATGGAATATGCCAATATGGAGAATTTCTGAATTTGAGAGTTGGAGACCTTACAGTAGCTTATTAGACTTTTAAATGTTTTGTATGGTTCAAATTTTGGAATAAATTACAAATTTTGACATAAATATATGCATATATGTGCACTTGGATAACAAATATATAAAAAAAAACTAAGAATTTGAGCAGCAGGGCGCCCACCTAGGCGCTGGGCGCCAGGCAGGCCGCTTAGGGGCCGCCTAGCGTTTTTTGAAACCTTGCGTGTGAATATCAATACAAACCAAACTGAAATACATGAATTCTTTAATCAAATATCCACTCATTGACCCATCCCCAACCTAATTAATAATACCCCCAAAACCAAATTCAGTAACCCCATATTATGCAATTCCTTTCAATATACCATCAAAAACCCATGAAAATTTTGCAAAAACAAGAGCAAAAAAACAGAAAGAAAGCATACTAACCAACAGAAGAAGAAGCAATAGCTGAGCCACAACCAAAGGTCTTAAAGCAAGCATCAACAATCTTTCCAGTGCTCTCATCAACCTTGATCTGCAACTTCATCACATCACCACAAGCAGGGGCACCAACAAGTCCAGTACCCACTGTTGGATCATTCTTATCAAAGGATCCAACGTTGCGAGGGTTATTGTAATGATCCACCACCCTCTCATGATAGAGCCTCAGGGCTCCTCCTGCAACAGGGGCTTGAGTTTGCCTTAACCCTAACCCTAAAACCAATTTTCGGCTCCCCTGTGACAACATGTTTGGATTGGAGCAAAGAGAAGCAATGGCTTTCTCTCTTTATTCTCTCTCTCTCTGAATCTCTGAGACAATCATGCTCCCAATGATAATCATTTCGATATTAAAACAAAGAGACAACAAGCCCAAATCATATAATGGTTATAATAAGAAGCATAAGCTCTAATTCCCAAGAGAAACAGGTTACTAAAGAGAAAAGGAATAAATGGACAGAGTACATAATCTGAAATGAGTATATTTTATTGAAGTACATTAATATTTTTGTGTGTGAATTGATCAATCTTTCATCAATCAGCACCAAATCTAGCCAGAAAAATGCTCCTGATTAGCCTGAAAATTTAAAGATTGAATAAAAAGTATGCAAAAGAGAGATTATGGATGCAACAATATTGAAAATATGAAGACATGAACCTGAGAAACAAGCAATTGACTCATTTATCAAAACATGAAATAAAATTGGAACAAACAGATGTTAGAAAGGGAGAGAGGTGATAAAAACCTAGATATTGCTCACGATTGGGAATGCCTTATCCAGAAGCTCGGCCCAATTACGCGGTGATCAAATTTATTGGTGGTATAAATAGCAATAAAAAAATAAATTCGTATAACCAGCCATAAAATAAATAAACTCATATAACCAGCTACAAAAAATACATATATAACCAGTTAAAAAAAAGAAGAAGAAGAAGAAAACAGCAATGAACCAAGGGTTTTCTTCTGTTAAGCTTGACCAGAAAAATAAAAACATAAATAATAAATAAATAAACTACGTGAATATGGGGGTTTTCTTCTTTGAGCATAACCAGGGGGGGAAACAAAAAAGAAACCAAAAATCAAATAAAAAGCTCTTTGTTGACTTGGGTTCATCTTGTTTGAGCTTAAAGAAATATATATATATATCATTTAGATCTGGAATTATCTTCTTTGAGCTCTAAAAAATAAAAATAAAAAAAAGAAGACTTACTCTGGCTTTCTCTGAGATTTAGAGCAATGGGGGCGATAAGGAGAATGGAGCTGACACGAGTTGCGGCGACTGCTAATGCACCCGATATTTAAACTCCAAACGCACTATTTTAAGAGTCTTATATATAAAATCCATTTATGAGATATTTTATTTTGAATTTAATTTTTCATGTTGACTAATAATATTGCATATTATTAAAATTATTCTAATTATATTTTCGATTTTCATAGTATAGTTTTCTATATAAAATTTGGTCTATTAAAATATGTATAGTGAAATAAAGCTTATTTCTAGTAAAATATGAAATTAATAAGACACTTTATAAATTAAGACATAAATTCTAGTATCATTTGACATCCCTAAATTCAAGAACCCTAACCAATACCCTAACTTGATTTATGTCGATTTGTATAGCTCCCTAGACAAGTATAGACTTAATACTATATTATATAATATAATGTCCTTTTATATTGTATTATATTAAAGAAGACAAAAATATAGTGATTTCAAAAAAAAAAAAGACAAAAATATAGTATTAGATTTGACCAACCAAATTTTGTTAGGCATTACTCATTGGTGAATTTTAATTGGATCCTAAAATTTTAGTTTCAAAAATTTTTCTTAAGTAATGAGTGCTCCAATAGGTTCACATTGTACATTTGGCACTCTTAGATATAACATCTATTTAGGAGATAACTATGATTTAGAATTAGTTTTGCCTATTGATTGGTAATACTACTTTGATTTTTGAAATCATTCGAATAATATTTTAAATTTCTAGAAATATACCTTTTTTTATAAAATTCTATTGATTAATAGGGATATTGTAAAACAAAATCTTTTTCTAGAAAAATATGAAATTAGTAAGATATTTTATAAAATTAAATACATTATATACAATGTATATAATTTTATATTGAGAAATGACCTTGTGAGACCCTCCCACACATGTAAGACCTTAAAGGATCACTATTAATTTTGTCTCAATCTCTAGAAGAGTAAATATTACACCTACGATGAGAACTTTTCTAGAGATCTATGCTAAATTTATTGGTGATCTTTTGAATTCCTACACACATGGGTATGGGAGGGTCTCATAGGATCATTACTTTATTATATAATACATATTATGTAATATCATATTATATGATATTATATAATATAATGCATATTATATAAGGGAGAAGTTTATATAGAGCCTAGGCTCTAAACAATCAAATAGCCTACCTCAAAAATTTTACTAGAAGAGATTGGTTTGATGCCCAAATATCCTCAAATTAATCATCTTGACATCAAGATGCATTAACATGATTAAAAAAATGGATTTCAAGTTTTGGAATAATATAGCTTGCAACATATTTTTTGACCATCAATTTTCAAGATTTTCAAGTTTTCATAGATCTATGTGATCATTATTATTTTTGAAGCTTTAAATTTTATAATTAAATATAGAAATATATTTTAAGCCTATCACAAAGATTTTTAGTATAAAAACCATATTTTTCAATACTATTTAAAGGTAGGCTTTACTTTGATTGTTTAGAGCCTCGGCTCTATATAAACCGCACCCATTATGTAATATATAATATTACACAATAGTACGAGGTCGTCCTGTGAGCCTCACGTGAGGTTGTTTGCTTTTTTTCGATATAATATAATATGATATATAATAACAATACAATATAATAATACCATATTATATAAGGGGAAAATCGCTATGCATGCGTAACTTTTTTTAACTTTTGTTACTAAAATTTCAATGAAATTTCGATGACAGAAAACTTCCCGTGCTTTGCTAAAAATTGAGATGTTTTGGTACGACCGTTGGCACATATTGTACATACAGCCTATCATTAAAGCAGGTCCCAAAAGCCACAGTAATACATCAAATTTTCATAAATTGAACAGCAGCACGAAATAGATTCAATAAAACTCCCCTAAAAATACTTTTATTGAAATATACATAGACCCACGAGAACACCAAAAATATATTAGGTTCGGGTAGATGTCGAACCAACGAAGCAAAACTTGTTGGACACGTGGTTCCGAACATAACTCACTCCTAGTAGCATGCACCTGCATTGCATGTGTTATTTAAACATCATGCATAACGTACTATTTATGTTAATGATATTTTTTTACCAAAATAAATTTACAAACTCTAAGTCATGAAATTTATAAACGATTAAAATAAATTTTACATAAAATAAAAAATAATGATTTTTCACTCATGCTTAGATATAGAGGAGAGATTTATAAGTTTTATAAACGGTCAAGCTTTTTCTGTTTCCCTACAGCATAGAAGTTCTATCATCCCTTTTATCCAACCGTCCATTCTGAATGGAGGGTTAAGATTGTCCCAATCACAAAGTCACGTCTCGGTACTATTTTATTTTTAATTTTTTCTATAAACTATTTTGACACCAAATTTTGGACGTCTAATCGTCTATTAAACTCGCACTAGCGGAAAATATAAAAAAAAATATTTTCAATAAAATAAAATAACCAAAATACCCTTGAAAGCTTCAAGGGGTATTTTGGTTATTATATTTTATCAAAAAATTATTTTTAATATTTTTTATAGGTGGACCCCAATGAGAAGATGGCGCATACCAAATTTCATATTCATACAATTTGTATAAAAAATATTAAAAATAAAATAATTTGAGACATCGAATTTAAGATCAAACGATGAGTAGCTCTCTTGATCAAAATAGGATGGTAGGATAGTAGGGAGAGGATAGAACTTCTATGGTGTAGGGGAAGCATAGAAACCTTTCCCTTTATGGGCAAGCTTTCTATGCATCCTCTATAACATAAAACTTATATATTTCCCCTTTATCCAACCGTCCATTTTAAATGGAGGGCTAAGATTATCCCAGTCATAATGTCACGTCTCTACGCTATTTTATTTTTAATGTTTTTTTATGAACTATTTTGGCACCAAATTTTGTACGTTCAACCTCTATTAAACTCGTATTAGAGAAAAATATATAAAAAAAATATTTTCAATAAAATCAAATGATCAAAATACCCTTGAAAGTTTTAAAGGGTATTTTGGTCATTATATTTTATCAAAAAACTATTTTTAATCTTTTTTATGGGTGCGCGCCAATGAGAAGATGACATGTACCAAATTTTATATCCACACAATTTGTATAAAAAAATAAAAATAAAATAATTTGAGACATCGAATCTAAGATCAAACGGTAAGTGGCTCTCTTGATCAAAATTGGATAGATGGATGGTAGGGGAAGCATAGACCTTCTATGCTGTAAGAGAAGTATAGAACCTTTCTCTTATAAGCATATTTAGTTCTTAAATTAGTTATTACTAAAACTCATAAAAATGAATACTAACGCTTAATATAAAATATATTAATCCTCATAAATTAATTGTTATTGATGAGCTATATTGTAAAAAATGGATAATTATATATAAATTTTTATAATTATGAAAGTAATATTGCAATGTAGATTATCAATATTTCACTTAATCTTTTATAACCTTAAATCCTATCATAATTATAATAAAGAAAACCCCACCGTAGTAATCTTATACTTACTAAAATATAATTGCATAAGTATACATAAGTGATTATAACACAGTTATAATTTTCCACCCACGAAGTGAGAGAGAGAGAGATCCTACGTAGGGATTGTGGGTGAGAGAGACAATCTTCACCTAGATGATAGATTGATCTTAGAATTAAAAAATTGGCAAAATCAAGTAGGTATCAGTTTTAGAAGGTTTGAACTAAAAAAATAGGAAATAATATTGGAGGCCATGCGCTTCCATATTTTATTTGGAGTTTTGAATTGAAAAATAGGAAATAATTTTGGGAGGATCTGCACTTCCAAATTTTAGGGAAGGTTCATATCTAGAAAATTATGAAAAAAAAAATTTGGGGATGGACTTATACGCATAAATTTGGGGTTTATTTTGGGAAGTTTAATGCATAAAAGAAAACTTTTTGGGGAGAACTCGTACGCCCAAAATTTTAGAAATGGTTCAAATTTTTGAAATGGGAGGACTTGCACCCATAAATTTGAGGCAAGGATGGGATAAAACACAAGCAAGATCTAGTAGGTTCAAAGTTTAGGAGGTTCAAAACAAAAAAAATAGGAAAAAGATTTTGGGGAGTATTTGCATGCCCAAATTTTAGGCAAAAATGGACTTATTCTCATACGTTTAAAATATATGGAAATAATTTTCGGAGAACTTGCGCCCCGGACTTGCACGTATACATTTAGGAATAGGGGGGCTTGCATTTGCCTATCCCTTATCCCTTATTTAAGTGAGCAAGTATTGGAAGATTATTTAAAGTAATAGATATATCTCTACATATTTTCCACATCCTAATTCTAGTACTCCTTACCCTATCATCTCTCATTGCAGTTTTTTTTTTTACTTTTGTAACGTATGTCCACCCCTTAACTATGTTTTAATAATATAATATAGTATAGATGGATATAGACAGATAATAGATAATAAACATTTCTCGGTTTACCGATTAAAGCTTAATTTGTTTTATGTATACGCGAATGAGAGAGAAAAGCAGGACTTGAGTACTGAAGAATATATCATTACATGCTCCCCATCTTCCCTTCACTCATTGTGGCCCCTAATACAGGAGTATTGTTTGGATTGGGGATATAAGATCCTTCAATTAATTAGAAAAATAATAATATCAATTTTAGATGGTCAAATCATTTTGTAACTCCCTCTCACTCTATCTCGGTGGAATATTATTTCTGACATTCTCCATCTAGGCCCAACCTCAAATTTGTTTTTTTTTTAAAGAAGTCAATGAAGTACTTGATTAAATTATTAAGGTAGTCAAATCATCCCATTTAATTTTAAGAATATTATTTTTTGAATTTATACCTCCTTAAGAATATACAAAAAGTTGCCAAATTGCTCACAATTAAGAATGTTGAATAAACAATCGTATTTTTTAATCTAAGCCAAATGATAAAAATACCCCAGATTATTTAGGATTAATACTATAGAGCTGGGTTAGGCCTAGCCGAGCCTCAATATTCTTGATTGGGGTGGGGCCCACCCATTGGCAGACCTTCATAGAACAATGGTTTTATAATTAAGAGTTTTTCATTTGCTAATCCTAAGTAAACATAGGTATTTTCAACTTGCCTAAATTAAACAAGTAAAGCATTTCATCATTTGACTCGAATCATGTGAATGAGGCTAAATTCTAAATGCCCTACTTCTTCATCGTTCCCACTATTATAAAGAAGGCCAATTCAAAAAGTTTCTATCATATTTTCTAAGAGGCACTTGAGTTAATAAAATTAAAAATATATAAATTTTTTTTTTTTAAAAGTGTCGCTAAATTGCTAAGAATGTGAGTGATTTTATTTAACCATATAATTGATATTTTCACTGAAGAATCTATAAGTACTCCTGAACGTTTCTAAGAAGCATGAAATCATTGAAGGGTCAGTGAACTTTGGATGGTATGTCTGTGAGTTTAAGAACTCACATTTTACTTTTGGGCAAGCTCCCTATGCTTCCCTTAGAGCGTAAAACTTACATTATCCATTTTGAATGGAAGGCGGTGACCTCCATCACAATGTCATGTCTCAACATTATTTTTTATTAGAAATTATTTTAATACCAAAATTTTGGTGCCCACTCCTCTCTCAAACTCGCACGGGTAAAATATATTACCAAGAAAATAAAATGACTAAAATACCCCTAAAATATTCAAATGGTATTTTAGTTATTATATTTTATATAAAAAAATATTATTTCTTAAGTGAAATCCATTGAGAAGATAATACGTACCAAATTTCATATTCATACAATTTATAGAAAAATACTAAAAATCAAATACTCTTAAACGTCGAATCTAGATCAAACGGTGTGTAGCTCATTTAATCTAATTTGAACGACTGGAGGGAAGAGGACGCATGTATCTTTTACTGTGGGGAAAGTACAGAAACCTTTCCCTCTACGTTTTATCTTTTTTGGAAATACTATTTTAGAAAGACCCTAAAAGCGAGGTTAATAAAATCCTCCACAGCGTACCACTTTTTTCCCGGAAGGAAGTGTAGAGCATGCTCCCACAAGGGCGCACCATGCACACAACAAAATGCCTAGCCTAATCCCCACAAAAAAATATCATTTCCTCCATTCACTCCTTCAAGTAAAACCTATATTTTAGGTTACCAAAATTTTAAAATAACACCTTTTCATCGTAACTATAAACTTCCAAAAATCATCATCATTAAAACTTTGATTACATCATTTTTGATAAGCTATTCAACTCTATCAAGGGTCATACTCTCAACAAGGCCATAAACCGTCACATCTACTCTCACTACTTCCAACTATATCCATTGGGTCGAACACTTGCCCTTTTTTTAATGTTCTATATGCCCTAAAATTGAATAGAAATCATCAAACGTTTGGAAATTCTGATCTAATTGTAATTTTGTTTCTTTTTTTAAGTCACACCATGTTCACACACCCCAAATTTTGCAATAGAAAAATTCTCCTAAATAGCCCTTGGCCCCGGGAACTACACAGCATGCTCCTGCGGGAGGATGCTATTCGCACTAAAACGGCATACACATTGTCCCACAACCACTTAAGAGGTCACTTAGTGACAGGTAAGGTTATTTGGAAAGCAAATATTATCTCACAAATGAGGATAAGGAAGTTCAATTTCTCAAGTAATTTGAATATCAGCCCATTGACTAGTAAAAATAAAAACAAAAAAAAAAATATCAGCACCAGCCACAAAATGAAATCCAACCAGTGAGTAATGTTTCAGTCTCCGGAAGAATTTCTTAGTGGCTGAAAACTGAATCTAATCTTTTTGCAACAAAAATAATACGCACGTTCTCATCACAGACCACATTCTCTTCTCTCTCTTACCCTTTTTTACCCAAACCAGAAAGAGTTTAAAACATATTCGGAGAGACTAGCTCTTAAAAGAGTAACAGAACGAGTTTTGAAACAAATCAAATTACAATAAAAGAGGAAACTACGAGAGATGTTGGATTATGAGGTAGTAACCTCCTACCATTGCAAAGCATGAGACTCCACTCCGAGCCACTCGCAACCAAAGTCCACGCAACAAGAACGCCCTATCTGAGGGCCGGATCCCCGCTTTCCTATTGATCCAAGAACCCAATGGTTTCCACTTAAGAAGCTTCCTCTCCATGGCTATATACTGTCCAAGAAAAACCAACCATTGGACTTACCCAAAAGAATGAAAGAAAACTCAACCTTCACTTGCCTTCATGTGAAACACTATTACATTCTTAAGAAAATAAATTAAGAAATTCCCACACAAAGAGCTAAGTTAAAAAATGATGCAACATGTTTTTCTTTTCTTTTGGTTGGCTGAAGTAAATGGAAGTCAGGTGTCTTTTAAAATGGAAATAGATGTCAAAATTGGAATAAAACATACTTATTTCACACTGAATAACCATGGTTGGAAGGTCTTGTTATCACAGCAAGCAGGAAAAATCCATGGTTGGTTATTAGAGCAAAGTCATTGAAAAATGATATGAAAGGATGCTAAAAAAATGAACATCAAAAAACAATCTGATTACCTTGGGTATGACTATAGATTGTGATCGACATCTAGCAGTGTCAAAAACATGGGAGGCGGCAGCAGCAATTGAACCAGAAAAACCAGCCACTAGACTAGCTGCCAATGGAGACACAGGGCCAACCTCATCCTCGGATCTGAGGAAATATGGGTAGAAGTAGAATTAGACCAAACCATACACCAAAGACTTCTATTAATCAAGTGTGAAATTCTTAGTGCAAACTGAAGAGCCAAAAGTATTTCCCATACACTATGGAAACAGTCTATAAGTGCAAGATTCAACAACAGATTCACTTGATACTTTCTTCAATATAATTTTTTTAAACAGAGAAGTTGTGGCAAAGACCTTGGGGGAGGGTCCATATTGATGGCCTTCCAATCAAGCATGATAATGTGAAAGAATTGCCAGGTTGAAAAGAAAAAACCACCAAAAATGGAATCCCGAAATATCCCTGAACGAAGACCCCTCCATAGTGCATTCCATCCTTCTAAGGAGACGACGCCCAGTGGACCTTTAATATAGCTCACTGAGGGAGGTTTTCCTGAGCCAGTCATTACCCATGGATACTCTTGGAGAGCAGTGGTCACATTCGTATGCTTGGTGGGAAGGGTGGATAAAAGACCAGTAATTTGATCCCATGTCCCCTTCTGAGCAATGTGACCATGAAGCAATTTTGTAACTAATGATGGTGTGCCTCTCTTTGCCTCAACAAACCTGGAAGTCGGCCAAGAAGCACACGCCACCTGCGTGCGAAGCTTAAAAAGCTCGAATGGCGTGTTTACGATTGATTCTAGGGCACCGGCTGCAAACCCTGCCAATAGAGCCTCTGATACAAAGACATGCTTGTTTTCTCGGCCGTCTGCAATGATATTGGGGAAGTAATGATTTTCAGTTGTGAAATGGAAGATAAATGAGCTACTTGAAAGTAACAAAAGTTAACAGAGATTTCACAATTGACAAGTCAACCACTTCCCTAAATATTGCAAATGGAACTTTCAATGGTTAAATGTAGGACGCTACAAAAGCATACCAAGATGGCCCAATAACATAACTCCAACAAAAATCCCTCACGGTTCGCTGCAGACATTTGCATCAGAGGAAGTTTTAGATAAACAATTTAACGAGAACTTTATCCAACATGCCACCATCCCAGTTACAGATAATTTGCCACAAAATTCCAAATTCAATGACCAGTCAAGGAAGTCTTTTTTTAAAAAAAATTATTGAGAAATAAAAAATTTCATCTCCGACAAATATGAAAGTTTCCATAAAAATGAGCTAGAGTAGTATTATGGCAGTCTACTAGACAAATTTGTGAAAACAAAGAGCAAATTTTTCAACGAATATCACTCATATACAGCTTGTGTGTTTGCATGTGCACCAAGGAGAGAATGGTGAGAGGTTCATAAATCCTCCTCTGCAGGAGTTTTTGATAGGATAAAAAAGTTTACTGATAGGGAAATCCCTTTGATTTGCTTTATATCAAAAGATAAAGGATAAGGAGGTTTTTTAGAAAGAAGTCGGAGTACACACACAAGAAAATTAGCAGGTAGCATATCGATGATAGGTCGCCCTTAGCATACCCACACTCTAGGATATCAGTTGGTCACATGTTGACTGACCTTGAGAACAGTGAAAAAATATTCTGGCTAAAAGAAACAAGTGAAGTGGACATTTATTATGAGTGAAAGAATTAAATGACCATGTGCATGAAATGAGTACGGTCACTTAAGGCATATGAACTGTACTTGTAGAGAGGGCTTGGGATATTTTATTAGGTGATTGGAGAACATAAATAATTAAAAAACAACATTCAAATGTTTAATAGAACTACGTTTCTTGAAAATTAATACCTTCATTGATTATAAAAGAAACATATGCAAAGCTCTTGCCTAATTTCCACACCCACAATTATAAATAGAAAAAACCAAACTTCAGAACAACGGGTACTAATCTGAATAGATGAGAACTAACTTCAATCCAACTAGCCTGCTAATTAGCCTCCACATACATGCCCTTGGGAATGTCAATACACCTAGGGGACACTAGGCCAGGAGTAGAAACAAGAACTTGGGTTTATCCAAAAACTAGGTTTTCTAAGATGCGGTAATTTTAAATCTGAGTTTTGGGTATATGTCATTTGGGTAGCATCAGGAACCAACTTTCATATTTCCACTGTTTGGAATCACCTATATGTAAAATTTGGGCGAGAAGAAATGGATCGTTGGAGAGAGAGTTGATGGGTGAGGTTGGATTTTCTAAGATTATCTGAGTTAAAAATTACCCACATTTTGGGAAACCCAGTCTGGGCTGGGTTTATTTTTCAACCAAAACAAGCTCTAAGGGGTAATTTAAACATCAGTTTTGAGAGAGAAAAAAAAAATATGCCAAACTGCCTTTACTCTGAAAATCTGAGTTTTTGACAAAAGGCAAAGTTTTTACCAGGATCCAAACAACCCCCTAAATATCTGTATATACTCCAAGTCTCCTCCATAAAATCATCAAGCCTCAAATGGCAGAGGCTTACAAACCCACTTCACCACATTCAAAGACTAGCTCTCGACAAATTTTGGTCTTAATAACAATTTCACATAATTGGTAATCCCCACCGAGATCAAAATAAGCTTCACAATCCATACGTTTCACTTCCCCAAGTGTTTGTCATAAGTAATAAAACGCATAAAAGTGTAAAAGGTAAAAGACCTACAAGGAAGAATTCGATGTTGTACATATTCTATTTCAGTTCCCATATTTCTCCCAGTTACATAGTGCTTTCTTAATCTACATGTGACCCAAGGCTTGATTTATCCTTTCATATACCATCAAAGTTTGTTATTACCTCTCATGCTGCCACGCTCAAAAACACAATGAAGGGGCACACATTCTTGTTCCAAGCTGTTGAGCTCATTAAGACAAGACTACTTTGACGTAAGATTGTTGTAAAATGTAAAACTTGACATTTCTATTGGGATCTTAAGATGTTCAAGCAGTGAACAAAAAATCCCCCGTCGACAAACCACCTAGGTGTAGCCTAGGTGGTGGATCTGGGCGGGCATGCCTAAGGTGGGTGCCTAGGAGGTCAAGGCGGGGGACCTAGGCAGTCTGGGCGCCCACATAATGTCATCCCTTAAATAAATAAAAAATAAATAAATAAATAATTCAAATCCACTCAAACAAAAGTAAGGCCTAGCATTGCCCCCCTTTCTCTCTCTATCTCTCTCTTTCAGGTCCATGTGCTCTCTACATATGAGAAGAAGAAGAAGAAGATGGACAAGTGTTCAATGTGCGGCCTCTCTCTCTTTCTCTCTCACACACACACACACACAAAGATACACATGGACCCCTATGCTCCCTCTTTACACGTAAGAAGAAGAAAAAGAAGAAGATGACCTCCAAGTGTTCGATGCGAGGTCCCTCTCTCTCACAGACTCTCTCTCTCTCTTCATGTCCTCCAAGTGTTCGAGACATTTCTCACAAATACAGATCCAAAAGAAAAAAAGAGGACAATCTTCAAGAATTTCATGCGAGACCTCACACACACACATACGTGCGAATGCACACACACACACACACACTAAACACATGCACACACACACTTAATACATACACACACATTCACAAACACACACACATACAACAACATATGGCCCATACCCCAACCCCTTCCCTTAGGGCCGCCTTTGTGTCTTGGCGGCTGCCTTGGCCGCCTCCGCCTTTATGAACATCGTGTTCAATATTTCTCCTCGACATGAATGTATTTGTTTCATCTTAACATTTGTAATTTGTAGTAAGGAACTATTCTTTTGATACTATACCCTTTAATTCATTATATATTTCCAGATTTCTGTGAGACTATCTTAAATCCTAGATTGCTGCAAACCTGAAAACCTATATTTCATGTCAAGTTTCTTTGTTTAACTTAAAAAAATAGAATTGAAGCTGAGAGTAAAAGGCAACAAAGGTACAGCATAAAAGGTGCTCAACTCCTCCATAGTAAATTATGATAGTTTTTCATGATAATAATTTGCTTTAAAAATTTGAATCCCATATTCATCTCATGTTTAAGTTAAGATATATTCTAACTGAAAAGATAGAACCTAACACTTTTGAGTAGATGGCATTGTTCTTTTCTTGTTTCCATTTTTCTTTTCTTTTTCAGAGAGAGAATCAGTCCAATACAAAGTAAATAAGATCACATTTTCCTTTCTGCCATATTTCATGGCAGCCATATGAAGTAGATAAGATCACCTTATGCTTATAAATTTACATAATGGAACAGATAAATTCTAACTTCGATAGAGCATATCTGAGAAAACTTAACTTCCAGAGAGAACATAGATATATCAGACAGAAAGAGAACATACCCTTATAGAAAGCAGTCAAAAGTTCATAGGTACCAAATCTAACTCCGACAGATGGAATTCTACCTAGTGCGAACCACCCAAATCCTCTATACAGACCTGAAACATTATTAGGAGAAAATTCACCAATCAAATGACAGAAATAATGCAGTGCTACTACCAGAACCTACATGCATTAAAAAAAGCAGAAAACATTTCAAATTACACGCAAGCACCTCATTCAAAAATCAAGTTTTCATTAAAAATAATTAATGTTTTCATTTAGTAAAGGAAAAAATGAGACATAGTCATCTGACAGATTCTCCTATGTCACCAGAACCTTGATGGAATGGCAACATAGAGCTTTTATGGAACACCTTTTCTATCCTTTACTCTGGAGCCTGGACAGCCCCCTCACCCCTTCTCTTTTCTCTTCTTACTTCCTGTCTCTCTCTTTGTTGGAACCAAGTAAAGAAAAAACAAAAAAAAAGGAAGGAAAAAAAATTCACTTGAAGGTATTTTTTTTCTTTTCGTTTCAGGGCTTCTGCCTTCTCTCTATTTTGTCTATGCCGTTTTGTCTCTATGTTCACATGTGTGCGCAAGTGTGTGGATAGTACACCCATAGTGCACAGAAAGTATCCGTGTTCCATATTTGACACAGAAAAACATGTGCACATCTTTGTAAAGTTAGCCTTTGAACCTCACCACTTGCTTGCAAAATGAAACATATCCAAGATTCTAAGCCTCATTAGTTTTTTAAGGAATGGGTAAAGGCCCTTACAAGACCCATTCATGAAGGAAATACTTCTTGATGAAATATTTAACCACTAGTTATCAGAATAAAGAAAAAAATGGTTAAAGATCATAAGTAGAAGAGAAATGCCGCAATGGTGTTTAGATACATTAGGGAAAGGTTTCTATACTTCCCCTACAGCATAGAAGATCCATGCTTCCCCTACAATCCAGCCATCCAATTTTGATCAAGAGAGCCACTCACCGTTAGATCTTTAGATCCGACGTCTCAAAGTATTTTATTTTTAGTTTTTTTATAAAAATTGTATGAATATGAAATTTGGTACATTTCATCTTCTCATTGGGGCGCACCTATAAAGAATGTTAAAAAATATTTTTCGATAAAATATAATGACCAAAATACCCTTTAAACTTTCAGGGGTATTTTTGTCATTTTATTTTATTGGAAATATATATATTTTTTTTCTCTCTAGTGCGAGTTTAATAGAGGATTGGACGTACAAAATTTGGTGTCAAAATAGTTTATAAAAAAAAATTTAAAATAAAATAGTATAAAGACATGACATTGTGATTGGGGCACTCTTAGCCCTTCATTCAGAATGGACGGCTGGATAAGGGGAAGTATATAAGTTTTATGTTGTAGGGGAAGTATATAAAGCTTGCCCAATACATTATCGTGATAAATTTCATATGCTACCTTGGTAGATCAAAGGCGAACATGAACATATTTACTTTGAGAAAACAGCAACGAGCAAACTTGCCCAAGAAGCTACCTGTGATTCCTGAGACACACTGAACTCTACCCAAAACTTGATAAATATCCAACTGCTGCTTAGCACCTGCACCAATCTGTCAACTAGTTATAGAATCTGACATGTAAAGACACTATTTCAAATTCAACATATATTCAGTTCAATTCGGCCTGATTTGAGTCCTATGAACCAAGATATCTAGTTTACACAATTCAAATTAAACTCCAGAAAAATTGACAGATGTAGTCATCCAAAAAGGCTGCAGTTTTCTTTACATACAAATGAGAACACTTAACATCACATTAACTCCCCAATTTGCACCACAAAAACTAGAAGTTGACAAATTACACCTCAATTATAGTGCCAAACATCAAAGTAGATAACATGGACCAAGAAGCCATGAGTGGTATTTTCATCCTAAAGAGCTCTACACTTCCACTGGTGCAACTCACCACAAACTGGCAAGTATGTGTCTCAAAGATGGTGGTGACGGTGTGATTGTCATCATGAAAATGCACTATGTATAATTTTCTCTTGGTTTTGTAACTCATTAATTTTTTGTTGGATTTGTCCTACTACTATTTCTTGTTTTAGATTATTTACCAGAGTTTCTTTGTTTTTTATTAAAGCCATTATTTGATTTATTTCTTTTAATTTGGGTTTTTCTATGAAATCAAACCAAACCTTATGGCTTTGAATTTCAGATTCTTTGCCAGAAGTATCCAATGATTTTATTGGATAGAGAAGGCTAAGGAACGGTGTCCCCAAGATTATTTCCTAGGCTAATCCTTTTACTATTATAAATGTCATTAGGAAGCATGCTCCGTTGTTACAGGCAGCAGCCTCAGAAAGTTCGTAATTAATTAGGAGTCTCTTCCCATTAGCTGTATTAAGCATTTGAGTAGTTTTATCAAAATATCTTGAAGGTACTAATCCCTCATTAATACAGTTAAGATCGGCTCCTGAAACAATGAGAGCAATAGCATTAAAACTATATTCTTTGGATACTATAGTTACTTTAGTATGCCATTTTTGGGTGATTACTTTATTTATCACGTTTATATAGTCTAATTGCTTAAGATCAGTTTTTTCAAGGAGATTTACATTTTCATCTTGTTCTTCTTTGTTTTCCTCAAACTCAGTCAGTAAATTTTATTGTACTGGATTCTCATACTTGATGTTTTCTAAGATAGTTACCCTGTTATTTAAGGTATGTATTTCTTCTTTCAAATTTTTAACTTCAAACCTAAGTTCAGAAATTGTAGTTTCTTTTTCTCCAGATATTCGTCTATTATTTACTCTTTCTAAGACTTGTTTAAAATCATAGCTTGGTTTCATCTCCTTGTTCTCAGGCTTTTCTTTAGTAAGGTATTTTACCAAAGCATCTCTTTTTTCTAAGGGGTCTTCAATTTTATCTATGATATATAGGATTAGATTTTGTTCTTCAGTAAGCATATTAAGACTCAGTCCTTGCATATCTAGTAAGGCCTTATAGTAATTGCACTTATCAGAATCGGTGTTTGTACATTCCTCCTCAGAAGTTTCACTGCTATCATAAATTTCGTTTATTTCATCTTCTGAATCTGTCTCTATCTGTGACAGGTTATCCCTTGAAGAATCATCTAAAAGTAATATTTGTTCTAATTGCTTCTTGAGACCTTCATCTGTGATTCCATTTATCTTTTGTTTTGTTCTGCACCTGTCGGCGAAGTGGCCATATCGTCCGCATTTTTTACAAACGGGAATTTTACTTCGTGTCCTATTTTTAGGATCACTGCTTTCTTTTATCTTATTATGCTTAAAATTTTCCTTTTTTTGCTTTCTATTATACTTCGTGTTCCTTTTATACTCATTTTTGTGTTTTTTTGAGTGGGTTTTCCCCGGAAATGGGTGATACCCAAATTGTTCACAGAAATCACCCATTTCTCTTTTTCCTGTGATTTTCTAGTTGTTTCCTAAGCTTAAGGTCAGTACATACATAGTTCAAGACCAGTGGCACAAATCTCATTATCCAATTTCCCCAAGGTGTAACTTTCGTAAGGGATCTCTTTTCCCCCATTTGCATTTTTGAGTCTTGTTTTTACCTTTTCTCTGAATAGAGCAGGTAGACCATTAAGGAATAGGGATTTCCAATGCACATCTCTGGCATCATTACGGGTTAATAACTGGGTATGGAAAACATCCTTATACCAACGGTAATGTGAAAGGTCAGGGCATCTGAGGTTTTCTAGTAGTTCCCTGGTTCTCTCATTCCAAACTGAGGTGTCTCCTATAAAATTAAGGGCAATGGTATAGATTAAGCTATTGACACAATTATCTTGTTGAATAGGTATTTCTTGTTTAATACCTTGATTAAAAGTAGTGGCTGTAGATTGTTTTTTTGCAGTAAGGATAGCATCTTTTTCATCATCTCTGAGATAAAAATCCCACCATCCTTTTAATTGTCCTGTAAATCCGTTTATTATGGATCGTGCAATATCAGGATCTCTATTACCATGATTGGCAAATGCTGCTGCATACATCACCACATGTTTAAGCAGATTCATCTTTTGGTATTCTGATAGGGCATCTATATTCCATTCTACAATAGACCTTCTATCATATTGCACTGCGTTTGAAAATATATCCTCTTCATACTGTAGGCGTACAGGAGAAGGGCGAGGATAGTACATCTTGGTAGTTGCAGTAGGCCTGGTTTTGGTTCCATAGCTGATCCTATTTATTTTAGAAGAGTTTTGTGTTTCTCTAAACATCTCTTCTAGTTTAAAGATCTCTTCATTATCAAGTTCTTCTAGCATATTAGCACCTTGCGCATTTGTTGTATCTTCTCTTTTTTTCTCACTGATTTTGAGGCTAGCTAATCTATTAGCTAGTTCTTCATAATATTCATTTTCTTCCTAACTTAAAAAGTTTTAGAGATAGGAATAGATGGTTTAAAAAGGACAGGTTTAAGAGTCTCCATAGGAGGGCGGACTTCTCTGGATGTAGATGGTTTTGTTTCCAAATTATTTCTATTCTTGTAGCTTGTTTGCCTAGGCTTCGAAGGAATAGGTTTATATAATTATTTTGTTCAATAATGTGATTGAGACTTTCCAAATTCACAGGCTTTTGCAGCATCCCTTCCTCTTTGGGAGCATAGGTCTGCTTATATGGGACTGCCCTAGATTTGGCTAATTCCACAGCTGTTTCCGGAGGATGGATACTTTCAATCTCTCCACTACGTGTTTTATATACCTTATAAATTTTCCCTAGGACTGCAATAGTACCATCATTCCTATATATTTAGGAACATATAGGTTATCCGGAAATTTTTTATTTTTTGAGTTTAAATAGTATTTCAACCAGGTAAAAAACCTTATATTGATTTTGTTTCTGTCATTGTTCTGATATGTTCATCATCTAATTTTTTTTTTAATGGTTTACTATGCTTAAGAAAGTTTTCTCTAATTCCTTGGTTTTCATTAGAATAGAAATCTTTTCTTAAAAGCTCATAGTTAATTTTAAACTCTTCTTCTATGTGAAGCATATGGACATTCCCTTCAGGGATATTTGACTTATATCCCATATCAGAGAAAGTAGGTCCTATTGATCCATCAAATCCTCCTTCATTTGTTGTAGGAGGAACATTAATCCTATAAGTATGGTGACAGATTAGTTGATTTTCTAATTGGTCCAATCCTTCAATAATAGGCCCTTTTTCTTCATTACTTTTCTTTTCATGCTCAGTTTGAGGTACAGAAGAGAAGGACATTCTAGGTGGTTGCCTAGGAATCTGAGGGGTTCTATTTTGATCTAGAAGAGTTTGAAGTAGAGGGGAGAACCGTATCTCAACTCTTCTTTCGTCATATTGTGTTATTTGGCTTATGTTCTGGTTTTGCACAGGCCTTGGTGGTAACACACAAGGTAGTGTCCATTTTTCAGGTAACTTAACCTGATCCCAACAAATTGTTTTAAGGGTAATAAGATTTGATTTCTCGACATTAGTCAGAAAAATAACTATTTGTCCTTTGGTATCAATTTTTTTAACAATAGGACAAATAGTAGTCATAGCTTTATAACAAACTCTATAGGTAACAGCTATGTTTTGAAACCCGACATCCATGTCAAATCCATTGGTTAACAAATTTAAAGTTAAAACTTTCATTATGTTTGGGTCAGTTAGGGAAATAGAGAATCCTGGGAAACAGTTAAAGTAGACAGGTCCTTCACACAAACTGGATTCTACCGCTCCTAATAAGGAATCCATAAACTTTCTGTGCCTACTATCTCTGAGGCAAAGTAAGATTGTTGTTTGTAAACCTGATCTTGTCACGGGTTTTATTCCTATTTGAACTAATCCGATATTGAGATAATTATATTTTCTTTTCCTAATATCTTCTATTCTGGATTTAGTCAATAGGCTAACAATAGTTTCAGTACTAAGAACAGACACTGTTTTTTCTTCAGTTTTTATAGCATAGTCACTCTTAAATTAAAAAATTCCTTTGATATAAATTTCAGAAGTAGAGATTTTTGGAATATTCCAATTATTTAAATCTCTTTCGATATTGGTTATGATAATTTCTTCAGTATTTTTAACAGTCCTTCCTGATGAACTAGATTCATTATCAGACCTTTGTGAACTAGTTCTGAAAAGCTTGCCATCGAGTCAAGAGTATGGCTACCTTGTGAGTCAATAGAGTGATTACACACTCGAGTCAACCGAGTCAATGGATTTATGGCCTCTTGGGCTCTGACCACGACTTATGGCGACTTATGACGGCTTATCACTAATACGACTTTAAGGCTTGTCACTAATCAGACTTTGATGAACAATTTTTTAACAGAACTTGGACAGAGTTATGATATAAAACTGTTTATCAGGGTAAGATCATATGGCTTTGATACCATTCTTAGTGCGTCAAGAGAAAATTATGCAATTCAAAAATAGACTTGAAAAAGAAATCTGTGTTGATATACCAAATGCCTTTTGAGAAAGAAAGAAACATAAGGTAGAATTACCATTTAAACCAGACTTCAATGAAAAATTTATTCCAACAAAATCTCGGCCTATTCAAATGAATAGTAGGCTTCTAGAGATTTGTAAAAAAGAAATAC